ACAGGGCGGTCCGTGGAGCCGCTGCCGGAGCGTGGTGCCCCGCAGGGGTCCGAGGCGAGCAATCCAGAGAGCTTTCCTGGCAGTCCTGACAGTGATTAGCCAGGAGCCCAGCCAAGAAGCTCTGAGAAGAAGCAGATAGCAGGGCAGCCACCCTCCGGCATCATTAAAATACTTTCTCCAGCAACACCCCCCACTCCTGCCCAGCCTGTTCCAATTAACTCCGGGATCCCGGGATGGAAGGAAAACACTGCGGAGCTTTCAAGTGCCGGGGGAGGTGGGTGGCCCGGCTGGGACAGTGACACAGAGAACCTGGCAGGGTGAGCAGCAGCCGTGTCGCTGGCTGGGGGTGGTGAATGGGATGAGCCAGGTCACTGAGCAGCAGAGCAGGTGCTTCACAGCCTGTTCCCACCTGGAATGGGTCAGGATCGTGGCTGGGGAAACGTGGCGAAGCCAGCAGGTCTGTGAGAGGGGCTGAGAAAACCTGCCTGATGTCTCCAACCAGGAGAAAGGATCCTGTTGTGAATGAAGGAAATGGGTGTTAGAAATGGTGTGGGTTTGTTGCAAGATGCCTTGGCAGCTGAAGGTGGCAACAGGCTCTGGGTGAGGGTGCTGGAAAAGGCTCTGTACCAGGGATGCAGGCATGAAGGCCTTGAAGAGAGGGAAGTGTGGCAAGGAGAGAGCAGGAGGGTGCTCAGCATCCCAAGAAGTCCCTGTCTGCCTAGGTTTTTCCCAAGGTATATTTACTGAGTCCAGTGGCACTGGAAATGTACTTGGGCAGCATTTTAGATAAGGGGAGACTTGCAAGGTGCTGTTGCTCTGCTTCTCCATTCAGCTCTCTCTGAACATTGGATATGCTACCTCCCAAAGATGCCCTTGGGGTGAACCAGAGGCAGGAATGGTGGAGGTTACTCAACTGGCACTGTCTGGCTCAAGTAGGATGTTCAGGGACACCAAAAAGCCCTGTGGGACCTGCTGCCTGAAAGCATGGGCCAATCCAGCCCATCACCATGCCCCTTACTGTGCCCAGCACCCTGCCAGTCACTGTCTCATCATGCAGTGGGACAAGCCCAACTGCTGGGCCACCTTCCCAGCCCAAGGCCCAGAGCCAAGCCAGAGCAGGCTTCACCTCTCTCTCAGTAGCAAGGGAGAGGTAGGGGCTGAGCCAACAATCTCCCGAGGAAGGGATTAGCAAGATGTTAAATGAAGCCAGCTCCTTATCCCTTCATAAACAGTTTTTAAATATCCTGGCCAGCCTTGAGCTTGGCAATTCCCCATTTGCTTTCAAAGGATGTGGTCTCAACTGGAGTGTGCCTTAAGACACTGAAACTTCAAGGAGACAAACACCATTAGAGGAGGTGCTGTATTTGCCCTTCCAAAGATAAAGGTTTACCCCCCAAGAAAGTTAAGGAGCCTGCCTAGGCCCCAAGCAGAGAGAAAACTGTCTGCAGAGGGGCAGAGGCAGCTGGGCTCTGCTGGGGCAGCACAGCCAGGCAGATCACAGCCTGGGATGGAGATGGATTTTTCTGTACAGCAGGGGAGGAGGAAAGTCAGCTGCAGAGGCTCAGGTCTGTTTGTGCAGCAGTGCAGCTGGAGTGTGCCTAATGTGACACCAGGTCTCAGGGACCAGGAGTGTTTGCACATCAGCATGTGTGAAAAAGGGAACAAAGCTGTCACTCTGAGTGTCACCACAGGTGATGAAGTCCCCCTAATCCAGCCATCTCTATCCCTGTCCCACCAGCAGCTCAGCACCACAGGCTTTTCCTGGTGTTGTGCCTGCCCCAGCTCTGGGGGAAGGCAGGGAGGGAGCAGAGACCCCACCCGGTGGCTTTGTCCCCCTGGTTGGAGAAGGATGACAGCTGCCTCTCCCTGCAGCTGCTGGGGCATCCATCATCCTGCAGGGCTGGAGGGGAGCAGCCAAAGCCCCAGTCTGGGCAGGGAGAGTGTCTGTGCCTGCCTGAGCACAGGAGGGGGGGCAGGCAGGGCTCTAGGAAAAGGAAAAGCCATGGGCAGAGGCTTGTGCCAAGGCCCACGACCTACAGCTCCAGGTGTTCACACCATGTGCAGACACCCAACGTACAGATGTGCATGCAGATGGGCTGTGGAAGGCATGGAATGGGAGAAGACTCCCTGATGTCAGGGCATGGGTGTCCTGCCTGCCTGAAGCCCTTGCTGGCTGCCTGCCTTTGCCTCTCAGGTTTTGGTTTTTTTTGCTTTGGAGACTCATTTCTTGCAGCTCCCAAAGGTGGCAGAGAGGAGATCACCCACACCCAGGGCTTCTGTTGGGAAAGAACAGTGTCAAGAGTGTGAGGCTCAGGTCTGGGAGCCAGAATTTGGCTTATTTGGAGACACGGGCAGTGCCAGTCCATGAACAAAGGAATGACACAGGGTGAAGCTTCTCTCCTCCCCCCCTATTGATCCCTTGAAGTGCCCCAGCTGTTAGGAGTCAGCTTTTCACCCCTTGCCCATGGCCCAGCCAGCCCTGCCTGTAATTGAAGAAGGCACTAGGCTGCAAATAGCCTGGGGGGATTAGCTGGGACACAATGGGGGCTGTGGAAGTGGTGGAGCACATGGTGAGCTGCCGAGGGGTGCTGGTAGCTGCAGGATGGCTGAGGAGCTGGAGTTCAGCATACTCTTCCCTCTCGGGAGATAATGCATAGCTTGAGAAATCCACTGCCAGGGCCCTTCCCCCTCTGAAATTCGGGCTGTTTTACACTATTTGCTGCATCACAGCAACCAGGCATTATCGGGAGGAAATTGGTGTTTTCATGGATAAAGCAATTTCCTCCCCTACCCACATGTCTCAAACAGGAGGGATTTGGCTCTTCCCTGGGCTGCTCAGACTCTAGCAAGACCTTCCAGGGGACTTTGTTTCTGAAGGAAAAATTCTGTGCCGTGCCACGGAATGGTGAATCTAGATGACAAGCCAGTATCTTAAGCCTTGTTGGACTTTTGCAGGGCACTGGTGGAAGAGGAGAGAAGGGAGGGCACAGGATAACCACTGGGACCAGGGCATCTGCTGGGCAGCTGGCACAAAGTCAGCACAGTGCTGGAGGTGGCTGTCACCACCTGTGCCACCCACACCAAGGCACTCCTGGTGACTGCCAGCCTCCCAAAACAGGTTTGCAATCACCCATGGTCCCCCCCCCAGACCCCATGGTGCCCAGAGCATGAAATCTTAACCCCCCAGATATCCCCTCACCCAGCAGCCTGCCTTCATCAGCACTTCCCTCTCCAAACTGAGATAGAAATACTTGCAGCTCCGGACAGTTGATTATTTAAAGCTGTCGGGAGTGTTTAATTTAACCCTGGATTCATCATCTGCAGCTTGTTTCCATCCAGGAGACACCCGTGCTCCCCCTCCGAGTGTAAACTCAGCCTCTCCTGAGCTCTTCACCTCCAGGCAGATTCAGGCAGAGGTTTACAGGCAGGGGACGTGACCCCACCACATGTTTTTCCCCCACTGTCCCTGCTCAGACTGGCACAGACTGGGATGCTCCTGTGCCAGGGGCTGCAGGCACAGCCCAGGTGGGAGCTGCTGCTGGGATTTCAGCTGGGATGGACATGCCAAGTCCCTCACCACTGCCTGGGCACCACTGTGGGGAGCCCTGGAGGCTTGGTGGAAGCATCTATAGGGGAAGCCTTACTAGAAATTTTCCTCAGAGTTTTTTTCTTTGCTTAGCCACTTTTAGCCCATCCAGCAAGATCCTAATTTTTTTCTGACCCTGCCACCAGGTCTGCCAGGGCTCTGGGTTGCTGTGGCTGGTGCTCCCGCCACCATCCAACCTGGCCTTGGCAGCCCCAGGGTGAGGACTTGAGGTGTGGGTACAACTGAGCTGTCGGTGGGAGCATGCACAGCTCCCCCATTGCCTTGGCCCCTCCTGCTGGCATGCAAAGCATCCCAAAGCTGGCCCCGTGGCCAAGAAGGAGCATGTCCCACAGGCAGGAGCAGTGCCCTGCCTGCCATCTGCAGAATCCTGACCCACCCTGGCATCCCCTGGAGCACCAGGTCATGAAAGGTTCCTCCCAGAGCCAGCTTAGTCCAAACCTAAGCCTAGCACAGGCCCTGCTCCATTTATAGAAAGCTGCAATTAAAGGCCAGCATTTTCCCAAGTCTTCTGGCAACTGAATGCGTATTGGCAAAAAAACCCTCAACAATATTCTGTGTCAAATCCCAGGCACGTCCTTGTGGTGACCCCCCAGGACAGCAGTGCTCGCTCTGGGCATGGTCACAGGCAGCAGGATGGGTCTGGGAGACCTGTCTGCAGACAGCTGAGCATGGAGACAAGCTAAAATTATTGCTGGAGCATCCCCAGCACAGGGAAGTTGCCTTGGAAGGTGTTTGTGAGGGAAGGGAGCACTGCCTGTTAGCAGGTCCCCAGGGTGGCTGGTGAACTTCCTACCTGGGAACCCACCCTCTCCATCAATCCAATCCAATCCAATTTGTCAAGCAACAAGCGATTTAAACCCAGATAAACCCATCAGTTTGTGGGGTGTTTTGGTTCGGTTTTGGTTTGTTTTTTTCCCCAGGCAGTGGTTGGCCTGTCAAAAAGTCTGCCCAGGAAAGGGGTAGATGGGTTCAGAGAGCAGTCCCAAGCCAAGGACAGACAGAAAACAGTACAGCCTCCACCCCGAGACCACATCCAGGCCCTAGGGTGGTGCCAAGTCTTCTGGGATGGAGGGATGCTCTGGAGCACTGCAGGTTGTGATGCGAGGGCAGGGAAGGGAAAGATGAGGAGAGGAGCTGCTCCCATTGCCTTGGCACCAGCTGCTGCTGGCTCCTGTCTGCTGGCAACCCCCAACTCCAGCAGCCCAAAATCTCCTTCCAAAGCAGAGCCAAGTGCTCCTTCTTGTGGAAGGCAGAGACCAAGGCAGCTGGAAAGGCTTGGCTGCACCTTCCCTCCTACATGGGCTTCACCAGGATGGCAGAAATTCCCCACTCCTTGAGTCAAGAAGCTCTGGCCAGGAATGAGCCAAAAAGCTCATTTTAAATCTTTCAGCCATGGGACTGCAAGAACTTAAAACACAGCAAGAAGGGGAGTTAGACAAAGCTGGTCCCCCTGAACCTGCACTGCCCAGGCAGGGGTGGCCCCAGCCCTGGGCAGTGTGGGTGCTCTGCTCAGATAAAATCTGACCAGGCACTAGAGGCAGGGGCTGCAGGATCCCCAGCCGCTGCCTCGCTGGCCGTGGCTGTGCCCCCCCCCGCCCACGCAGGCTGCACAGCACCCACAGCTCCTTTTGCAGTGCAGTGGGTGTGTGAGGGGCTGGACACTTGCTCTTGGTGGCTCCTTTCCAGCAAGAGGTTGGCTTTAGGTCTTCTGTTGACAAGCTGACCTGCTGAGACACCACTTGTCATCCCTGGTGCACCCTGCCCAGCCAGGGACCCGAGGGACAGGGGCTCTCGACCCACCCCCAAGCCCCCTGTGGTGCAGCCTCCCCTCTGCAGGTGCCCCCGGGCCGCGGGCTGCCCCTCGCCAGCCTCCTCCTCTGCCTCCTCCTCTGCCTCCTCCTGCAGCAGCCGCGCAGCAGCGCAGCTTGGAAGCAGCACGTCCCGCGCCTCCGCCTCCCGTACAAAGGTAAGGGGGCTGCCCTGGGGGCTGTGCCTTGCCTGGGAGGGCTGGGAGAGCGTCCCGCGGGCAGGAGGTCAGGGCACTGGGGAGGAAGGCAGCACAGCCCCGCCGTGGTGGCTGCAGCATCTTCACACCTTGGGCCCTGGGGATGTTTCGTGGCTGCAGCCCCTGGGTACGCACCGGGCTGAGCAGGGAACACCCTGCCCTGGGGCAGGGCAAGGCTGGGGCAGCAGGGATGCCTCCTTCTGCTCAGAGTCACTCTGGGCATCTCACAGTGTGTCCTGGGCTGGAGTTGACCTGAGCAACCTTCACGCTCACTGTGCGATGGGGACTGAGCTCCAGGCAGCGCTGCCAGCTCCTTCACCTGCCTCCCACCAGCACAGTCCAGCCCCAGATCAGCCCTCCAGCCCTCACCCCTCCTTGCCTGCCGAGGAGAGGCTGATTCCTTATACAGATCATTTTCCTGCTGTGTTTTACCCTTGCCCTGCACCTCTCTCTTCTGTTTAGATTATGAGTTCCCCAGGGCAGGCACAGTTTGCTCTTCTCAAGCCTAATGCAAAGGCCAGAGCTTCTTCTCAGCCATCTAAGGATGCAACAGGAGCAGACTGACAGGTAGCACAGTGTGTGTCCCAGCAGGGAAGTACAAAAAGGGAATCTTCAGGGAAAGGGTCTCTTCAGAGTAGTGACCTGAACAGTCAGAGTAGAGCCCAGCAGAGCAGCTGGTCATCCTGCCATGGACCTGCAGCATGGACTTTTAGCAAATTTACCTGCTTGCAGCTTCTCCTATGTGCAAGAGAGCAAGTGGCTTTGAAGGACAGAGACCTCAGCACATTCCTGGTGCTGCCCTGAACATGGCAGTTGGCAGAGTTCAACCTCCACATCTCTGAGGTGGCAGAGTAGCATTCCCATGGGCATTGTGCTCAGAGCTCTGGGGCCATCCTCCTGCTCTGCTCCATCACCCTGGGAAGCTGCTCCCCGAGCAGTGGAAAAATGCCCTCAGCTTGTGGTTGGAGAGGGCTGGACCTCCCAGGAGATGCAGGATATCCCTGCAGGGAGATGGTCCCTGCTGATAGCCCAACTCGGAAACACAGGGCTGGGTCTGCCTTTCCTTGGAGCTGGAGGAGGCAGAGCAGGGTTACTGGGACAGACAGGGTGCAGAGGGGCTGCTGACTTCAAAGCCCCTCTGTGTGCTGAGGCCAGACATGCCAAAAGCCCTCAAGTCTTGGGCAGAGGCAGGAGAGGAAGCTCCCAGCCTCAGGAGGGCTCAAGGACGATGTGAACAATGGCAGGGGATGTGACTCATGGACAGCTCTGGGCAGGTTCAAGGACACAATGCCTTGAGAAGTTTAGGTTTAAAAACCCTTAGAAAAAATAAATAATAAAAGGAGGCCTTTGAGCATCTGCCTGTGGGCTCAGCCTTGCCTTCAGATCCCAGCATGGGGGAGGCAGGCAGGGCCCTGGGGGCAGGGGAGGAGACGAAAGCAGCCCTTGAGAAGGAAGTGACTGCACCAAAGGCTGGGAGAGCAAAGGAAGGATGGGGCAGGGGGCACAGGGCCAGGAACAGCAGCAGCAGCTCCCATCTTTCTGAGAAGGTGAGGAGATTTATAACAGGACACTCATAGCCTGCAGGAGAGCTGGGTCAGGCTGAGTCAGCCCTGCACTGCCCTGAGCTGAGCCTCTGTGTCGTCAGGCCAGGCAGCAGTGCAGCTCTGCAGTGAACCACAATGCACCTTCCACCTCCTCTCAAGCCATAACTCTGGGCAGGCATAGCCAGGAGGTGGCAAATGGGTCTTCTTCCAGCCTATCACCCGTGGCCAGCCCAGCCAGGCAGGACCCAGCAGCCATCACCATGCAGCAAGTTCTCAGGTGTGTGGGAGGCTGGTGGGTCTCTGGTTATCGGCAAAAAAAGCTGCCCTGGCACGTGTCCTGTCAGCCAGTGGTCAGTGAGGGGCTGGGGCCCAATTTAGCACCAAACTTCCCCTGAGCTTCAGGGATCTCCTGTATGGCCTGCTCTGTCTGAAGGCTGGGGGAAGGGGAGAGGGCAGCCCCCCAGCACAGCCGGGCTGTGACCCCAGGAAGCCCAGGGTCACCCAGCACTGAGGATGCAGTGGCTTAGGGGCATGCGGAGATGATGGATGGGATGAGACAGCTACAGCAGTCCCAACAGTAAAGAAAAACACCGTGACCTTGGGAGATAATGAAGACAAAGGAGGGGAAGCTGTGTAGCCACCCCTCAGCTGCTGCTGGATCAAATGCCTGGCAGGTTCTGGGAGCACTGGCAGGTACAGGAAGGTGGGCAATGAATAGCACCCAGTGGTGGCAATGGCCCGCAGGTAGGGACAGGAATGCAGCTGCTAATCCCATTTAGTTGGTGGGAAAAGGCTTGGAAATCTGCCCCATATACATGGCACCCCTTGGGAATAATAGGGAGTGAAGCGGGGCTGTGCACAATTTTTGTGGGAGTGCCAGGAATTCCCCAACACATCTGGGAGAGTCTCCTGGCAGAGCAGGATCTTCATCTCACAGTAAGCGGAGCTCTGACCCCGCCGGAAGGGGAGAAGGAAGTGCTGGCGGGGAGCGAGCCCGGCTGCGTCAGCGCGGATCCGGGCAGGGACCCTGCCTGCTGCCTGCAGCCCAGCAGCTCCTTCCCCCTGGGGATGAGCAGACGTCAGTGGCATTTCCAGCTTCCAGGCACTGGCCCCACTTCCCCTCTGCCCTGGAAACCGGGGGGAAGGAAGAGAGACGCGACCTGCCAGGTCAGCCGGGCCCCTTTGAGCAGAGTCCTGCCCGTGCCCACGTACACCCCACCTGCGCCTGGGGCTGCATGTCCACCTGTGATCCCATCCACACCAGCCAGCACCGGCTCCCCTTGACAGCTTCCCTCCTCCTGTTCCTGGCACACTGCATCAATCCAAGTGATTTTCACAGAATCACAGGATCACAGACTGGTTTGTGTTGGGACCTTATAGATCATCTAGTTCCAAACCCCCTGCCATGGGCGGGGACACCTTTCCCTAGACCAGGCTGCCCCAAGCCCCATCCAACCTAACCTGGTTCTGAACACTTCCAGGGATGGGGCAGACTCCTGTGTTCTCAGCCTTCTCCCTGTGGTTTCAGGGTGCAGAGGCTCTGGGCCTTGAAGAGCTCCTCTGACAGGCAGGTGGAAGCTGAGCAGCCCAGGCTTCTAGGGCTGGACCTCTCTTCTGCCCCATGCCCTGCAAACCAGCCCAGGGCAAGGCCAAGGTAGTTCTTGTCTTTGTAGAGTGATTCAGTTTCCTCCAGCATGGTTCGTGGGAGGAGGCTTCATTATGAGCTTTGGGGCACTGAGGGTGGTGTTTTTCTGCTGAGGCAGGGGCAGGAGAGTTTCATTCCTTTGGGGCAGGGGTGGGGAGGCAGAGCTGTCCTGGTGAGGGGGAGCACAGGGCCCCTGCCTGCTCGCTGAGTCACTCATGGATTGGTTTCTCTTTCTCTGACTTTGTGCTCCTCAGATCTGCTGAAATCCAACAGCTCTCGCCTGTTGCTGGCCTCTGGGGATGGGCTGGATTTCCAAGCCCTCTTGGTGGATGAAGACAGAGCCTGGCTGATGGTGGGAGCAAAAAACCACATCTTCCTGCTCCACCTGGACCATCCCAGCAGAGAGCCTGAGAAGGTCAGTGTGCTGGGAGGAGGGTGTGAGTGTGACCCCGGCCAGGCTGTTCTTTTCCTCCCTGGGAGCTGCTCCTCCTTCCAGTGCTGGGGTGTGGAGGTGGATGTGCTCTGAGCTGGGCTGTTCTAGTGTCACCAGGGACACATTTACACCAGGATGTCCCAATCAGTGGGGTCAACCCATCCCTGGCGGTGTTGAGCCCCATGGGGATGGGCAGACACCAGGGAGGGACAGGGCAGCTTTGCCAGGAGAAGAGACCTGGGTGGACCCTGGGCAAGGTGGAAGGGCAGTGCCCGTAGCCCTGCTGTCACACTGAGTCCCTGCTGCTGCTGTAAGAACTTGAACAACTCCAGCCCAGTAATGTCATCCCAAGACATCCTGCTGGCAAGGTGCTTGGCCCAGGCCCAACAAAAGAACAGCCCGTCCAGGCGCCGCAGCCTGGTGTTCCCATGGGCTGGGGTCCAGGGAGCCTGCCCATCTCCCGGGCGTGCCGTGGCCCACCCAGGCTCTGTCCCCACACCAGAACTGATCTGACCCTATTGGGCAGGTTGCCCAGTGAGCTGGGTGGGCCATGGGGACCCAAGGGTGTGTCAGACTAGTTGCAGAACAGCCCTGTGTGCTCCTGAGCCTGGCAGTGCCTTTTGGCCAAGCCCATTCTTACCAGTGCTGCCCCAAGGGGTGAAGGACAGCAGGGGTGGCATTGGTGGGGTCTCTACTCTGTGTTGCAGATTTTCTGGCCAGCCTCCAGGGAGCAGGTGGAGCACTGCCAGCTAGCAGGGAAGAACGCGGAGGTAAGCAGGGCTGGCAGCCCCTGGCTCGTGGCTTTTTGCAGCTTACTCTAAATATTAAACACCCACATCCTCCCAAAAAGGGGGCTTTGGAAGCTGACTAAGGCTGTTGAGCCAGCCAGGGCTAAGCTCAGTTTGCCACTTGGCCAGGGCAGAATCTGGCCAGGCTCCTGCATCCCTGGCAGACATGCCGTGGGGCTGGGCACAAGTGGCCAGACCTGAGCTCAGCCCACTCACAACCATCTCCCCCTGAGCAGACAGAGTGTGCCAACTTCATCCGCCTCCTCCAGCCCTTCAACAGGACCCACGTGTTCGCCTGTGGGACCGGCTCCTACCAGCCTGTCTGTGCCTTCATCCAGCTGGGAGCCAGGGGGAAGGTGAGGGGCACCACTGCAGAAGGTGGCAAGAGGCTTCCCCAGAGGGTGGAGGGCAGAGGGAGCTCCAGAGCCTGGGGAGTGGGGCCAGCCAGGCCAGTGCAGTCCCTGACACTTCCACGGCCTTGCTGTGTGACAAGAACCATCCCTGGCTTGGCAGTGCCAGAGTGACCCATGGGGATGGGACAGGGTCCTGGCAGACCCCCTAGGGGACTCTCTGGTTGCAGAGCTAAGCTCACCAGCCTCCTTTCCAGCCTATTCCACATGGCCAGCTTGTTTCCAGCCTCCCCCTGTGCTGACATCTCCTTTCTGGCTCTCTCAGGGTCCTGGGGCTCCACCCATGCGGTTGGTGACGCACTCCTTGGAATCAGGGCGAGGACGGTGCCCCTACAGCCCCCATGAACCCTTCACAGGACTTCTTGTTGGTAAGAGGCTCTTTGAAAAGATATGTAGATGTGGTGCTGAGGGACATGGTTTAGCACTGGAGTCAGCAGAGTTAGGTTAATGGTTGGACTCCATGATTTCAAAGGTCTTTTCCAACCAGAAAAACTGATTCTCTGAAGGCACACGGGGGTGTGTGGTGCCACCAGCCTACCCACCCGCTCCCACCACTGTGGACTGGCCAGGCAGAATGGTGGCTAGAAGCTGTGCCAACCAGGGTGTGCCACCTCCACCCTCCCCAAGCCTTTGAGGACAGAGTGATGTCCTGCCAGGCTACTTCCAGCAGTGGTGCCAAACCCACCCACTCTCCCCTCTGACCACACAGATGGGGAGCTCTATTCAGGCACCTCCAGTGACTTCATGGGCAGCAGTGCTGCCTTCTTCCGGACTTGGGTCCACGGCGCCGAGCAGAGCTACATCCGGACAGAGCAGAACCAGGACCACTGGCTACATGGTATGAGCACAGGCAGGACCCATGGGATGCAGAGGCTCTCTTGCCTGCTGGTGAGAGCCTGAGGCTAGTACTGAAGCCAGAGCTCAGAGCAGAGCTCTCAGGCCTTCTCCCCTATGAGGAGAAGCTCACATGAAGCCTTTGGTGGGACCCACACTCCAGCACACTCTCTTGGTGCCTGAGCACTAGAATGTGGGCTCTACCTTCTGGGTAGTGGGGTCTCCATGGGGCACCCTCTGTACCCTCAGCATCTCATGCTGCTCCCAAGGGCTTCCAAGAGCAGTGCAACACAGTTGGAAGAGGGCCCATGGCCATGTTGTGCTTCTCCTTCCACCCACAGAGCCCGCGTTTGTTGGCGCCTATGCCATCCCTGATACCTACAACCCCCACGATGACAAGGTCTACATCTTCTTCCGTGAGACAGCCATGGAAGCTGGGCAGTGGGAGCGGCGGCACATCCACGCCAGGGTGGCCCGGGTCTGCAAGGTCAGTCACCAAAGGCCAGCATGCCATGGCTGGATGTCCCACCAGGTGGGCTTTTACCTCTTCTGGCCCACAGGGGCAATAAAAGGCATAAGGTTGTCACCACCCCCACCACAGAGCAGAGGGCTCAGGTCTAGGGATATCTCACTGTGGGGATGGAGTAGGATATGGTTGTGGGGCACCCACAAAGCTTTGGTGGGGGAGGCTTGGAGATGCTGGGCTGAGCCCAGGTCTTGGTGTGTGGCAGAACGACGTAGGAGGGAAGCGCAGCCTCATCAACCGCTGGAGCACATTCCTCAAGGCCCGTCTGGTGTGCTCCATACCCGGGCCCCAGGGCACCGAGACCCACTTTGACCAGCTGGGTGAGTACACAGCCAGCTCAGCAGCAACACTACTCTGCCATGGCTGCTCCTTCCCCTTCACCCCAGATGACCAGTCAAGGACATCCACCCGCATCCCTGTGACCAGTGCTCCAAATCCTGGGGGTCTCACCCTCCACCTGTCTCTTTGCAGAGGATGTTTTCCTCCTGCGCACCCGGGACCCCCAGAACCCCCTCATCTTTGGCCTCTTCACTGTCTCCAGGTGAGCAAAGCTCTGGCTAGCACCTGTGTTGTGGGTCAGTGCAGCCCCCAGCTCCTCACCAGTGCTCCCCATGGGAAGCCCTGGGCAGGTAGAAGAGCAGGATGAGCACCCAACTGGGAGAAGAAAGGCCACCAGCCATTTCACTGCTCTCCCTGCTGCTGGTTCACCAGCTCATCTGCCAAACCACCAGCTTTGGCATCCGCACAGCCAGCTGCCCTGAGGTTGGCCTGGCTGTGCCAAGGGGATCCCTGTCACCCCTGGGTGCTGTGCAAAACCTGGGGGCTGGCAGGGGACAGTGTCATGGGTGTGCATGTGCCTGTCCCCCATGGAGCAGCAGGAACACTGACAGCCCCACGTTCCCCCACAGTGGTGTCTTCAGTGGCTCTGCTGTCTGTATCTACTCCATGGCTGCTGTGAGAGCTGCCTTCAGTGGCCCCTTTGCTCACAAGGAGGGATTTGACTACCGCTGGGTAGAATACAAGGGCCGTGTCCCCTATCCTCGTCCTGGCACGGTAAGGAGCTGGTGGGCAGGGTGGGGTGGAAGGAGGACAGGCTGGCCTGGCCCTGACGTGGTCCCCCTGCATTGCCAAGCAGTGCCCCAGCGAGACGTATGACCCCCTGCTGAGGTCCACCAAGGACTTCCCCGACGAGGTGATCAGCTTCATGCGCAGCCACCAGCTGATGTGGGAGCCCGTGTACCCACAGGGCCACCAGCCCATCCTGGTGAGGGTCAATGTCCCCTACCGGCTGCAGCGGCTGCTGGTGCACAGGCTGGAGACAGAGAGCAGGCACTACGACGTGCTCTTCCTCGGCACAGGTGGGAAATCGATCTGGCTCTGAGGGTGCTGTCACCACCGGGCAGCTCATCAAGGACACCAGTCCTGCTGGCTTTGGTGGCTCCCAGCCCTGACAGCTCCTTCTACCTCTGCCTTTACAGATGATGGTAAAATCCTGAAGGTGGGGCTGGCTGGTGGGGAGAGCCGTGGCACCGAGGTGATCAGCCTGGAGGAGATCGGCGTCACCAAGGTATGGGAGGCCATGGCTGGGCTGGGCCATGCAGCCTCCTCTCTCCCAGTGGCATCCCCCACGCAGGATTGTGCAGCAAGTCACTGTCCTGTATCGGGGTGGTCCCTCATCTCACGGCTGGGGGCCCCCACCTGCCCTGACCAGCAGGAGATGCCATTAGCACAGAGGGGAGCCAAGAGGGTGGCAGCCAAGTCATCTGCCCATCCAGTCCCTGGGGGTGATGGGGTAGGCTGCCCAGGCTGCTGCCATGAGGACAAGCTGGGACCAGGGAGCTGAGCCAGGCCCTGGCACCCTGCCACTCCAGGAGCCCAGGTTCACTGGCAGGCTGAGGCATCCAGAAGGGGCTGATGCAGCTGCAGTGCCCTCTCCTTCCCCCCCAGGTACCTTCTCCCATCCTGGACATGAAGTTATCACCGAAGAGGGTGAGTCCTCCTCCCTGCTTCTTTCTAAAGCAGTCGAGGGACAAGGCACAGAGGGCACTTGGCCCCAGCCCCTGTGCCTGTGTCCCTTGGCCTCAGAACTTGCACATTTAGGGAATGGGCTCCAGCCAGGGCAGCCTGGGGGGTGGCAGGCTCTGCCCCCCACTCCCTGTGTTTCCCAACTTGGGGGTGCTGACTGATGCTGTTCTGCTTGCCTGAGCAGCAGGAGCTGTTTGTGAGCAGCACCCACGGGCTGCTCCAGCTCTCCCTGTACCGCTGCGAGCTCTACGGCAAAACCTGCATGGACTGCTGCCTGGCCAGGGACCCTTACTGCACCTGGGACAGCAAGACCTGTGCCCCTCACCTGCTCACTGAGAAGAGGTGAGCATCTGCCCAGGCCGGTCCTGTTGTCCCTATACAAAGAGATGGCATTTGGAGCAGGGAAATGCCATCCCTGGAGCTTTATCCATCAGTCCAGACCCCTACAGCTACCCTGCCTGTCTCCAGCCCTCCCTTGTCCCACCAGCCCTACCCTTCTCCCTGGGTGCTCTACCACAGTGGGGTTCCATAGCCCAGCGTGGTGCCATCCCACAGCCCAGTCAGGTACTACCCCAAAGCCTACGTGGGTGCCATCCTACAGCCCTGTTTGCTCTCACACAGACGTGCCCGCTGCCAGGACGTGCTGAAGTCTGACCCTCTCAGCCAGTGCCAGGACACCTCAGAGGGTGAGAACCATCCCCAACCCCTCCAGTAGCCCCAGGGCAGGCAGCCAGCTCTGCTCCGGGTCAGCAATGACCAGGATGGTGGACACCACGGTGCTGGGAAACCAGTGCCCACCAGCACCATCCATTGCAGACCCCATGCCACCCGCCACGTGCCGAATGCTCCACGCTGCCCTCCCTCCCTGTCTGTCACACAGCTCCTGTGCAAAGTACTCACCCCTTCCTCTGTCCTGTCCCCCATGCAGGGACCACTGCTGTGGAGAAGCTCATTTTTGGGGTGGAGAAGAACTCAACCTTCCTCGAGTGCCTGGCGCGCTCCCCACAGACGACCATCCGGTGGGTGGTGCAGCGCGGTGAGGAGACGGGCCTGAGTGAGGTAAGGGGACAGGGCAGTGGGGATGAGGAGCCAGGCTGCTCCCGTCCCCAAGGACTGACCCATGGTGCTCTGCCTTTGCCCCAGGTCAGGAACAACGGGCACTTCTTGGTGCTGGAGCAGGGGCTGCTGATCCGCCAGCTGGCAAGGGAGGACGTGGGCACTTACGAGTGCCAGGCCCTGGAACGCTCCTTCTCCCGGCCCCTCACCCGATACAGCCTCAGAGTCATCAGACACGAAGCCATGGAGGTGCCACCTTACAAACGGAGCAAAGGGGCCGAGCTGGGAGGGACCCACCAGAGCCCCCGACCCCGCATTGACCTGTACCCGGG